ACACCCCATTAGATGTTAATGTACAATATATGCTAAAACCATTATGTCTGTGATCAGACATTTTTCCTGTCCGTGTAAACTCGACTTAAACCACATTTGAGCGGTTTCAAATCTGGGCAGTCAAAGGAAAGCAGTGAGGCGTGGCGTCAGTAATTAGCGGCTTTGGTTTGTTCTAAATGGAGCAGCTTCAGATAGAGTTATTGTTATTTCTTCCCACTGATGAGCAGACTGGGGCACCCTCAGCCCTTGTTAATTTCCCAACCAATCACGAACCGCTCCAGCCAAGCACGTTGATGATTAAATGTTCAAATTAAAGGTATTGATCACAATCAAAAAGCATTAATGGCTTCTAATTGTCGAACCAGGCTGCTCATAGTGCTGATTGTTTTATTGCAATTACTTTTCATTCTCTGCTATTGCAGTTTATAATAATCCCATGCTGAAATAATGACACATACGATTCTCTCATTGTATCGTGTCTTGTGAGTGTGATAGAGCTGTGCTGTTGTGGAGTTTCCACATCTCCTCGTAGGGAATCTCCTACTTGCCTACTCATTGACATTCTTTTCTTATGAAGCAGTCAGTCTGTGCTTGTACAGACTTGTTTTACAGTGTTGCTGCCCTCCAGAGAAATCTTGTTGTACTCTAAGTTGACTTATTGTGTTCCGTGTAAACAGAAGGGGATTTTGTAACCTGTGTCATATAATATACATATATACATTACAGGTAATGTGGTCATTTGTAAATGGATTTCATAGATCAGACTTTGACGTTAATGATGCCACATTTCATTTATCTGACTTTTGTTTTTCCTCTTGCTGTGTCTTGGCCCATTACAGACCCTGGTAGGAGCGTGATGAGCGCGCGCTTCCGCTTGCCTGCTGGCAGATCCTACAATGTCCGGGCGACGGAGCTGGAGCGAGACAGGCCGCACACACAGGTTGTGTGCAACATACTGCTGCTGGACAACACTGTCCAGGCATTCAAAGTCAGCGTAAGTACCCCTCCTCCACTCAAGTATCCTGCTTTTGATGCAGAGCCTGTGGGAACTGAAGCAGGAAGATTTTTGATCACAGCACAATTGCTACCTACAAAGTGAATACATGTGAGGTGTGTGTGTGTCAGAATATGTTCCCCCTGGGGTTATGATTTAGTCAAACCTTAACACACAGATATGTTACATAGTATATCTTTTTGACCCATTAAGACCAAAGGAGCTGAATTTGCTCTAGGCTCGCTCTAAAACCTTAGCATTGTTTGAATTCACCCCTAAAAGCTGAGGGGTTTGTGATGAGCTGACAGAAATTGCTTTGTTAAGAAAAAACTAAGGGGATAGAGACATTAAATAAATACCATTTAATAGAGTAAACATTTGGCTCTCATTGTAAATCATGACTTCCCCTTGAGTTAATCAACAAATCACAATATCTTTTATCAGTCACGTCTTATAAACATGAACTTGTCGCACCAGGTCTTAACACCCGGTCCACACAAATGTTGCAGCAGTTCTAAATAGCTTAATTCAGTGTGACTTAAACTTACTTACAGAAATAAACCTGTGAATAAAGATGCTCCATAAAGCTGCAGAGCCTGATGAATCAACTCATAGTTGAGTCTTCTTCACTACCAGATAAATCAAGTAATAGCTGTTGTAGATCCATATGCTGCAAACAGGAACTGCCAAAATGTACAGAATCACATTCTTATGTTTCTCTAATTGTACATTAATTCAAGCAAAGCCTTGAGAATTAAAAACAGGAAATTGGAACATCAGTATTGCGCCTCTTCCTCCCTCTCACACCCCCCCTTCCTTCCCCTACTCCCATTACAGTAAGTTTCCCCTCAAGCCCACTCAAATGTACTTTATAGTCGGTGGGGAAACAGCCTGAGTGTGTCTCTACATGTTTGCAGTTTAAAAAGCAACCCACATTGTATGCTTTTTCTGGTGGGACTTTTTGTGTAATTTCTTTGTTTCACACTTCTTCAGTATCCTCTCCTACTGGTGCTCTGACATCATTGGTCGATCAGTGAGGTTTACAAGCATCCAGTCGGTCACATGCTGTCACACCTTGAGAGGACAGAAGGAGAGAATGTGTCAGTGAGTGTGTGTGTGTGTGTGTGTGTGTGTGTGTGTGTGTGTGTCTTTGTCGGAGTGTCTGTATATTTGTGATTTATTTTCTGCCAGGTCACAAGTTGACTTGTGACTGGCGTTACATTTGTCTGTCACTTCATGTGATAGCACATTTCCTTTTCTCTCTCTGTCTCTCTCTCTCTTTGTGTCTGTCTTGATGTCTCCCTCTGTCTGTGAGTGTTTGATCAGCTCTGTCAGCGCAGGGAGGGAAATTCCCTTTGTGAGCCAGAAAATACAAATCCTCTAATGACATCCCCTCTGACAGATCACATCCTGTTGGATCTCAAAATGTTTTGTGTGAGTGTGTGTATCAGTAAATATGCCCCAAAAATGCTTAAATAATAATAT